TTGCTGTTGTTTTTAATATGCTTATAATGTACCATGTGATTTTCTTGTTTCTTTTGTATGTTCTTCTCCCCCACCCTTGGTAATTATAAAGAACTTAAAATAGTTTCTAACGGGCTGGGAAGGTGGCTCAGTGGTAGAGTGCTTGACTTGTATGCATGAGGCCCTGGGTTCGATTCCTCAGCACCACATAAGCAAAAAAAGCTGGAAGTGGCACTGTGGCTCAAGTGGTAGAGCACTAGCCTTGAGCTGAAGAGCTGAGGGACAGTGCCCAGGCCTGGAGTTCAGGCCCCACAACCCACAAAAAAAAAAAGTTTCTAATATAAAAATCAGTAAAGAGGGCTGGGAAGGTGGCTCAGTGGTAGAGTGCTTGCCTTGCATGCCTGAGGCCCTGGGTTGGATTCCTCAGCACCACATAAGCAAAAAGAAAAAAGCTGGAAGTGGTGCTATGGCTCAAGTGGTAGAGCGCTAGCCTTGAGCTGAAGAGCTGAGGGACAGCGCCCAGGCCCAGAGTTTAGGCCCCACAATCGGACCCAAAAAAAAAAAAGTCAATAAAGAAACATAAATGGATGAAATGAAAGTGTTTTTGCACATAGTTTATTCTATCTCAAATTCTCCTATATTTCCATAGCTTGTTATATATGAATAATTCCATTGTAGTACTTATATTTTAGTAATTTATTGATTTATTGTCTTTCCATTAGATTTGAGTTCATTAATGAGAGAGGCCTGGTTTCATTCCTCTTGTGTTTTTAGCAGCCATCCTAACTCTTAGCATTTCATTTCTATGTGTATCATTTATCTGTGGGAAGAATGCTTGATTATGTGATTGAGATAGCATGAGCCAACAATGCTGAATTTTGCTATCAAAAAAATAGTGACCTATTTTGAAAGATAGGTAATAAATTCTATTTTAAGATTTAATTTGATAGCAGTGAGGTAGCATAGATAGATGAAATGACAAGGAAATTAATAAATATTAAAAGGGCAGACTCACCCACTAGTACCAGGAAGTAATAACTGAAGAACAGAGCAGCAAGCTTTCCCTTCGTATCCTTTTAGATGTGAAGTTATAAGAAGAGGGAGACATAAAGGATCCATCTGCATCTACCTTCTACTTTCATATATTAAGAAGAAAAAGGTAAAGAGAAAATTAGGAGGCATGTTTCTTAAAGGGAAGTCCTGAAACTCACCCTCTTGTCCCAGCGGTTTTTGGGTAGGACTAGATCATATCTCCATGTTTTAGAATAATAAACAGCACCAATTTTGGGCACCTAGACCAATGTCTAATGATCAGAGGTTGTGGGATGCCATGACCATATGTATTTCCCCAGCTCAGAAAGTGTAGACTGGGCTGGGAAGGTGGCTCAGTGGTAGAGTGCTTGCCTTGCACGCATGAGGCCCTGGGTTTTGATTCCTCAGTACCACATAAGCAGAAAAAGACAGAAGTGGCGCTGTGGCTCAAGTGGTAGAGTGCTCACCCTGAGCTGAAGAGCTGAGGGACAGTGCCCAGGTCAGAGTTCAGGCCCCATGATCAACAACAACAAAAAAAGTATAGACTATATCCTACATAGAGAATAGGAAATGTTTTTCCTATATCCTGTTACACTAAAACAAATTCTTGTTGAGACTTCTACCTTGTGAGACTTCTTTTTATTGTGAGACTCCTTGAAATGCTTTTCATGTGTGGATCTTACTAGGCTTTAAACTTAGGGCTTCACTCTTGCTCACTGTTGCTCTTCCACTTGAGTCATTGTTCCTGTCCTACTTTTTGCAGTTGTTTAGAGATAGAATCTAGTGGACTATTTCTGTAGTTCAGGCCGGTCTCAAATTGTGATCCTCCAGATCTCAGACTATTGAGTAGTTAGTATTACCGGTATGAACGGCTGACATATGACCTATGTTTCTTATAAGCTATCTATAAGTGTCCTATATGTTATTTAAACTAATGGAATCCTACTTCTGTTTTACCTGTACTGAGACTTTGTTTTTACTTGTTATTTTGGGTATTTTTATATATTCACATAAGATCTATCTCATTCTTTTCCATTCTACAGAGTATTTCATTGCATGCATATGTCACAATATAATTAATTCCCTAACGATCATTTAGTTATGCTACATGTTGTCATTATAAGAAAGATAATATTTTTTTGTAAATAGAATTTTATTGTTATTAATATGTCATAAAAAGGGGTTATTGTTTTATAAGGCAGGTAATAAATACATTTCTTTTTTTGGAAAATGTCACCCCTCCCCTCACTTGAAAATATCATTTCAAGGCCATTTTTATACAATGGGAACATTAGGAGAGTAATGAATAGTTGACTGGGAAAACTGGTTTGGGGAGGAATGATTAAATGAATTTCACATATATTAGGATGGAGTTCTTTACCATAGTGTATTAAAAATAAGTACTTTGAAGTGTGTATTGCTACAAACATCAGCAAGATCAGTCTTCTCATTTCCAGCATGCAGGTATGTAAGGTATATTGTCTCATTCATCAACAAAATTACTGATTTATTATCTACATAATGCTGTCAGTGTTATATTATTGAGCCAAAAATAAACTTTTTGTCTTTTAGGGATGTTGATAGAACTGGCCTCTGGTTAGAGTTGGGACCAGGAGAGATTTGAAAGTAGTAAATAAGCTGTTTTTGAAACTAGAAGTTAGAATTCATAACTAACAAATTAGAGAAAGAAAAACTGACAGCCTAAGAAGTCTTTTGATGTACAACAAGATGGTAATGCATGAACACTCAGAGGCAGGCTTTTCAAGTCTTATCTTATTCTGGCTTTCATAATAGGGTTTAGGAGGGCTGGGAAGGTGGCTAAGTGGTAGAGCGCTTGCCTTGCATGCATGAGGCCCTGGGTTCGATTCCTCAGCACCACAGAAGCAAAAAGAAAAAAGCCGGAAGTGGTGCTGTGGCCCAAGTGGTAGAGCACTAGCTTTGAGCTGAAGAGCTGAGGGACAGCACCCAGGCCCAGAGTTCAGGCCCCATGACCGGACCCCCCAAAAAAATAGGGTTTAGGAAATTAAAAAAATAGTAGTAGCATTGTTTGTGTGTATGTATGTGTGTGTAACTCTTGGCCTGAATCTTTATAGAAGAGATGCCGTTGGAACTTAGCTTTTGTTTTGCATTCTGGCAGGTGGGGAGCAGGTGGAGTACCTTGGTGACTGTTGCTTGAATGATCTTGTTTCTCCTGAAGAGTCCAGTTCCCTTGAGCATAGTCTTCTTTCTATTCTTAGCTAACAGCACCCTATGTTCTTGCCACTTGGGCAAGGTAAACTGCACAGGGTGCCTTAGCAAGTCCACTAGTTGTCCTTGGGTTCTGGCCTTTTCTGCCTCTGAGTAGGAGTTGCTGTTCTCATGCTTTGTGATGTGCCCTTGAAGGCTTTGCCTTTTCCCTTTTTAGCCCATCTCAATTGTTTCCCATCTTTGGAGATTTTTTAAAGTTTCTGCTTCCCTGAAAATTTCCATAGCATGGCTGTCTAATCACAACTTTTAAAAACTATTTTTGACATTATTTCTAGGGTTTTGTAAAGAAAAAATGGAGAAGAAACCTGTGCTTTGTGTTTGGTAGATTTTTCTCAATTTTCCCTGTATTCTACCAAGACTCCTCTGATAAATGTTCAGGATTTATTCATTGATATTGTTATTGTTTCAATAGTACTGGTTTGATCAGTTATTTTTGTACTTAATTTTATGGTCTATCCTAACAGTTTTGCAGTAGAAGATAGACAAAAGATATGAATAATAATGGCCTCATGGACAGAGAAATGCAAATTAAAACTGCTGAAGAACCAATTTTTTCTACCTATTGGTAGGGATCAAACAGTTTCATTAAGCAGTGAGGGTATGGAGTGGAGAAATAGGCTTTGCTGGTGGGCTGTAAGTTGGTTAGATCTCTCATTGGAGAATCAAAGAGCCTGTAAACTACCTAAATATCATTCAGTTATAAAATAGAATGTTAATTAAATAGTTTCAAAAGACGTGAAGTGCTTCAGGGATGGACAGGAAGTAATTTCCAGTATTTATTGATCAGTGGTAAAAACAATTGGAGTCAAATATCATGTGCCATGGTTTGTGTAAAATGAAGTTTAGCTTGGTACTGGGAGCTCATGCCTATAATCCTAGCTACTTCAAGAGGCTGAGATCTGAGGATCTCGTTTCAAAGCCGGGTTTGAACTCTGGGCCTGAGCACTGTCCCTGAGCCCTTCAGCTCAAGGTGAACACTACCACTTGAACCATAGTGCCACTTCCGGTTTTCTAGTAGTTCATTGGAGATAAGGGTCTCACAGACTTTTCTGCCTGGACTGGCTTTGAACCGCAATCCTCAGATCTCAGTCTCTGGGTAGCTAGGATTTCAGGTATGAGCCACTGGCATCGGGCCTTCTTGCAGATTATTCACTCATTCATTTTAGAGAATCCTGGTTATATCCTCTCAACAGAAATATAAATTAAGGTAGTTCCTATCATCAAAAAAATAAAATAAGCAAAAAAAAATAACCCTCAAAGTTTAGCAGATCAGACAACATTAAATGTGACTTGTTTGGAATTGGGGGCTCATTCACTAGATGCAGATAATTCAGGACAGTCCCCTGTAAGTGTAGGCAGCATATGTTAATTACTTGAACATACTTTCTCCTCTTGCACAGTTGAGTTGAGTATTATAGTCTCTGTATTCCTTTAGCACTTCTGTCTTAGTTGTAAAAGTTCATTTTTCAGACTAATTATATTGTTATGAATTTGCTTTGAGACATTTTCTTGGGGAGACTTAGTTCATCCTAAGATCTGTGGGACAAGTAGAGATTGTTTTTGTTTGTGTTGGCTAAATTAGTTTTAGTCCCATTTTCCTCTTCTAACTGTATCTTATGTCTAATATACTTACAATGAGAAAGGTATTTCATTTTCTAAGTTTGTAAGTATATATATGTATATCAAGGTTAGGAAAATTTATGACTTTTTTCAATAATTTTTATTTTGTTTCCGTTTTTTAGGTGGTTTTGTGGAAATGCAGGTGTGAGGACAAGTTATCTACCACATTAGAAGATGGGATCAAAGAGCAGCAGGATCAGTGATCTGCCTAAAAATGAGTACTTGAAAAAGTTATCAGGCACAGAATCTGTCTCTGAAAATGACCCATTTTGGAATCAGCTTCTTTCGTTTTCTTTCCCTGCACCAACTAGCAGGTAAGAGATTGCTTGGAGGTTAAAAATATATATAGAAGGCCACATGAACTTGTGTGTTATGCTGCTTTTTATAAAGTATGTTTTAATGTTGTTTCGCTCTGTCACACATGTACCAGTAGAAAATCAAAATGGTAGAAAAATGTGAGACAAGTTTTTCTCTTCTGTTCTTCTATTCAGCCACCTTCTTCCTCCGCAGATGTTGCTGGCAGCATGTTCTTCTAAATCCTTCAGATGTAGTACACAATTATTGACATATCCTATGTAGTCTCATAAAATTGTTTAAATACATATGTAGTATACTATCCCATGCTTTTTTCCCCTCACAGTTAAGGAAAATATATCTTTCATTTTTAAGCACATAAGCATTCTTTGTAATGGCTACAGAGTATTCTTAGAATAGATTGACTTAGACTAGTTAGATTTAGACTATTTCTAGTCATTTGTTCGATCAGGTAGTGGTGTATATATCCTTTCTCACACACAAGAATATTCTCTAGTATAAATTTCTTGAAGCAGCATTGTTGCATCAAACTGTAAGTACAGAGGATGGGAATGTGGCTTAGTGGTAGAATGCTTGCCTAGCATGCATGAAGCCCTTGATTCTATTTCTCAGTACCACATAAACAGAAAAAGCCATAAGTGGTGCTGTGGCTCAAGTGGTAGAGTCCTGGCCTGAAGCGAAAGAAGCTCAAGGACAGTGCCCAGGCCCTGAGTTCAAGCACTAGGACTAGGGGGAAAAAAAAACCTAAAAAAAACTGTTACTACATTTTAACTTTTGGGTATCAGTTTGATAGGTGAAAACAACATCTCATTTTAAATCTTATATAAAGAATAGGCCAGAACTGGTGGCTCATGCCTATAATCCTAGGTACTTATGAGACTGAGATCTGAGGATAATGGTTCAAAGCCAGTCGGGACAGGAAAGTCTGTGAGACTTTTTTTTGTCAATCGTGGGGCTTGAACTCTGGGCCTGGGTGCTGTCCCTGTGCTCTTCAGTTCAAGGCGAGTGCTCTACCACAGCACCACTTCCAGTTTTCTAGTGGTTTATTGGAGATAAGAGTCTCGTGGACTTTCCTGCCCAGGCTCGCTTTGAACTGTGATCCTCAGATCTCAGCCTCCTTGAGGCTAGGATTATAGGCGTGAGCCACCAGTGCCTGGCTCTGTGGGACTCTTATTTCCAGTTAACCACCAGAAAACAGAAATGGTAGAACGCTAGCCTTGAGTGAAAAAGCTCAGGGACAGTGCCCAGGTCCTGAGTTTAAGCCCCATGGCTGACAAAAAAGTAAAAAAAAGAAGAATATGACGTATAATATGTAATGTATAGAGTATAAATATAGTGCAGTACAAACATAATGCAGAGTAGGTAGCATATTGAATTCTCATATGCTTAATAATTTTAAAAATATTGTTATTCTTTTTTGGTGTTGGTACTAGGGATTGAACTCAGAGCTGGGGTGTTGCTCCCGAGCTGCTTTTGCTCAAGGCTAGCATTGTACCCCTTGAGCCATAGCTCCACTTCTGGTTTTTCTGTCTTTTTTGGTAATTTATTGGAGATAAAAATCTCATGGACTTTTCATATCTGGACTGGCTTTGAACCATGATTCTCAGATTCTCAGCCTTCTAAATAGCTAGGATTACAGGTGTGAGCCACTCACAATCATCACAATCAGCTAAAAATGTATTATTCTTCTTATTATTTGCAATGTAATGAAATAGGTATTCACATAAAGATGCTCATTATCTTTTTGTTAAAGTACATGTTTTAAGTTCCTTGAAATTCAGCTATTCAACAAGTATTTATAGAAGGCCATTACTTATCAAAGCATATACTGGGTGCTAGACACAGCAATGGAGATGACAAAGATTCCTCTCATAGAATGAGTCTGGCAGAAAAATAACAAAAAATTACACCAGTATTATTACATTTGTATAGAGTCCTTGAGGAGGAGCCCAGGGACTAGAATGCAGGGTGATAGCTCAGTGGATAGCAGAGGGTGTGAAATCTGTCCACTAGTGTTTCAGGAGTAGAGTCATAAAGGAAAGGACCAGGGAGAGGGAATACAACAGATCCCTGGGCCCATGGAATAAGATGCTGAAGCTGCCTTGGGAAGACTGTGCTTTGCCAAGCACTGGGAACTGGTAGAGCAAAAGCATGGGAACCAGAAAGAAAGTGATCCCCAAACCAAAGCTTAGACAGATGGGCCCACCAGCATGGGGCCCAGATGGGACACCTTATTGTGTTCTCCTGTGTGGCATCGTACTGCAGATCCAGTGCCTCCAGGAAGGAGAAGAGCTCATCCACTCTCAGCCAGGAAACCACCCTGCCACTGCTCCAATACCACTGCCTTAAAACATTAATTTTTTTAACAGTTCTATTCTGATTGGCTGATTAATACATCCATCCAGGATGTATTAGTTCTAGTTCTCATAATACGTGAATATGTTATATGACAAAGGGAATTAGAGTCACACGTGGAGCTAAGATTTCTAACCAGTGATTTTAAAATAGGAAGATAAGCATGGATTATTTAGATGGGCCTAATGTGATCACAAGGATTCTTAAAAGTGGGAAAGAAAGGGAGGGAAGAAGTCAGTCATGTGATGTGATGTGAGGTGATGTGATGTGAGGTGAAGTGAAGAGAGCTCAGCCTGTCATATCTGGCTGGCTGTGAAGGTAGAAGAAGGGAATGAGCCAAGAAATATGAGTAGCTTTATGGGGTTGGATTTGGAGTTGGGGAGGGAAACTTTTTCTGCCAAGGACTATTTGGATATTTATAATGTCATTATAGGCCCTACAAAATTATCAATGCAGGCAGATGGGCCACTGGCATCTGATAAGAATATAATGTGTATATATATATATATATGTATATATATATATATATATCCTATTACAAACCAAATGATTTTGTAGGCCTCACAATGCCTGTGGGCCTACATTTTTTGCCCCTGAAACCAGGAGGGGCAAGGAAACAGATTTCTTTCACTTTAGAACCTTGTATTTTATTTTGATTTTAGCTCATTGAGAACCTGTATCAGATTTCTGACCCACAGAGCTATAAGATAATAAATTTATATTGTTTACACAATTACCTTTTTTTGTTGTTGTTGTTGGTAGTGGGGCTTGAACTCGGCCTGGGTGCTGTCCCTGAGTTTTTCTGCTCAAGGTCAGCAGTCTATCACTCTGAGCCACAGTGCAACTTCTGGTTTTCTGGTGTTAATTGGGTGGGGATTGAGTCTCATCCGTTTCCTGCCCATGCTCTCTTTGAACTGTGATACTCCCATCTCAGCGTCTTGAATATTACAGGTGTGAGCCACCAGTGCCTGGCACACAATTATTTTTTGGTAACATTTATAGAAAACTAATACAATTAAAAAAATTAGCATACCTCAGTTTGCAAGGAGAGTTTCATTGTGGCATATCCATACATGCATACTATGTATTCCAATCAACCTCATTCACTCTCATCAATTTTCCTTATCCCACTCTTCCTCCTAGAAATAATGTCAACAGTTTTCATTTTTTAATTTTCATACATGCAAACAAACTACTTCGACCATATTTACTCTCACTCTCTTTTCTTTAGCCTCCTAAAACTAATACAATATGATTTATGTTTCAATATCAGGTTATAACTGAATGCTTTTAATGTATTGTCAGATTTATACATCCATCTCCACAGTCAAATGGAAGAAGACTATAATCATCCTGTAAAGGAAACTTATACCCATTAGCAGTCACTTCCTAATTTTTTCCAACCCCTCCTTCATTATTTTAGTTTGGTTTCCTCTGTAAGTTTCTCTCTTCTAGAGCTTTCATATAAATGGAGTCATATGTTATATGGACTTTTGTGATTGATGTTGTTGGCTTAGCGTTATGTTCAAATGTTATAAAATATACTAGTTCTCATTCCTTTTTATTACTTGGTAATATTCCATTGTTTGAATATATGACATTTTCACTTGCCTAGCTAATTAGGTTTGTTACTGCATTTGTTTTTTTTTTTTTGGTGGGTCATGGGTGCTATCCCTGCACTCTTCAGCTCAAGGCCAGTGCTCTACCATTTGAGCCACAGCACCACTTCTGGTTTTCTAGTGGTTTATTGGAGATAAGAGTCTCATGGGCTTTCCTGCTTGGGCTGGCTTTGAACCTTGATCCTCAGATCTCAGCCTCCTGAGTAGCTAGGATTTACAGGTGTGAGCCACTGGCTCCCGGACCTACATATTTTAATGTAGATTAAGAAAGACTTAAAAAAAAACATAATCATAACCCTAGTATCATATTTAACAAGGTTAGCAAAAGTTCTTACTATTCAGTATACGTTTAAATTCCTGTAGTTATTTTATAGTTTATTATAACTAGGATCCAAATAGGTACATACATATTTTTTCCAGCTTTGCAAAAATTGTTATTAAGGATTTGAACAAATTCCATAACTCATGTAATAAGTACAATATTGTTGCACAATATCACCCCTTCGTTCTCTTTCCCCCATTGTCCCCATCCTACCCCTTCCCATAAGTTTCATAGTTCATTTTTTACATATGCATGTTGAATACAATTTGAAAGCATTTGGTCACGCTTCCTCCCTCCATTCCTATGCCTTGGCCTTTGCCCCTTGCCTAAACACCCCCGCCCCCTCAATTTATGTTTTAATTTCCTGGAATTTGTTTTGATAAATAGTACAGTATTTTAGATGTTTAGAGGACATACTCCTTTGGGTTTCTTCCCTATTCTTCCCTAAGTGTATCCTTCTTTAGTCAGTTTGTGTGTAATACACAGATCCCTGTGTAAGTTACTGTGTCCAGTTGTATTTTAGATTTACCTTCCACATATGATTAAAAACAGGTGCCATTTGTCTCTCTGAGCTTGGCTACTTCACTTAACATTTGTTCTAAGTCTGTTCATTTCCCTGCAAATGAAAAATTACTGTTTTATGGGTAAGAAAAATTCCATTGTGTATAAGTACAACATTTTGTTGATGTAGTCATCTCTTGTA